ATTTAGAGGATGTCCATACATGAGAGACAGTAATGGGCAGAACAAGGATGTCTTGTTATCTATTTCAAGTACAACTCCGAAGTAAACTGAAAATTTTTCAACCAGCGACGTATTAATGTTTATTTTAAAAAATTATTCTTCAACAACAGGACTCTGTTTCGAGAAACGGATCGGTCTACAATATTATAAATCTATTTTCGATACTTGATATTACAGTGTACAGTAGATTTGGTTCTAGTTGGGCCTGATATAGAAATTTGTTTGGAGAAAACGTGAAATTGAGAACATACATCTCTCCAACTATCGTTGAAGTCATAAATAAAGACTTCAAGTTTCAGATGATTATTTTAATAAATATTTATGTTTTACTGTATTCAAAATGCAATTATACATTCGTGTAGCAATAATAAGTAATTATATTTATTATCTATATTAGGAGACAAAGGGTTTACGCGGTTCTGGGCTGTCAAAGACAAACTTTATGTCAAATAGGACGGACGGTGAGCGAACTATTTCGGTCCCAACAACGTAACGATAGTATGCTGAATTCCTAATTAGTAATTAGTACAAATTGCCTTTATCCATTAACTAAATAACTACCCAATATATTTAGAAACATTTAAATTGAAATATTGCTTCTGCTCATTTAATTCATAAGCTGTACTTGTTCAAGAATATCAACTTGTAAACACAATATACTCGTCATATTAATAAAAATAGTTAATACTTAGATATAATAAAAATATAAACAAATAACTATCCTCTTACTTATATTGGATACAAAACATTGCTGAACTATAGAATGCGGGCTCGCGTGGGGTAGCATTATTAAACTGAACTGCATTTCAGTCTCAGTACATATGAACTATGATTAAAAATTTTGCGTATTTATTGCAACTACGAGTATATCATTATATCGTATATCAGCTTCTTCATATCCGTCAGCGTAGTTTTAGTAATTTTTTTGACAACCTTAAATATAATAGAATAAACTTCTTTTTCCAAAATCCTTAGAAGTTTGGAGATTGGTGATGATGATGGAAAGAGTGGTCTCTAAACATACAGTTGACAAAAGGAATAAATTACGTGTTGGGCGAAAATTGGATTAATTAGAATAAAGTTAACGATTATTAAATATTTTGTTGCCGAATTCAAATTTCTTTACTAGTCACTCGAAGTACGCAAATCTATAAGAATACATCGCAAACATTATATCTTACTATTCATAAAAAGGATAGCTATTAATATAATAAAAAGAAAAAGAAAATAATTTTCTCTTTCAATTATTCAGGTAATCGTTGAATAAATATTGTCCGAAGCTATTATATTCTGCAAATTATTAATTATGTTAGGTATATTTATATATTATTTATTATATATAAGAGTAAGCATAACAAATAACAAAACACCATCTGGATTGTATTATATCAAATATGTAAAAAAATAATTTAAACAAAATAACGGTCTAGATAAGATGTTGTCTAGCGCATAAGATTATCCGCCATAACTCTCAGAAGCTTAACTAATGCTTATGCTTTCAAATTGCTGAGATTATTCAGAGATATTACATAGTAATATCGAACAAATTAATCCGCTTTAATGGAAATAAACCGATGAACGTACATAAAAAACACAAGAAGATTTATTTTTAACGGAGTTGTATATCGCAGTAATTAATATTGTATTAATGGAACATATTATATAATAATTAATAAATGTTAAGTGTTAGGTAACATGTAAATTTAGAAAATATGCATATATATTACAATGTAACGCACAAAAGAAACAATTATACACTTGTTACAGTTGATATCTTTTGAGGGGATTCAGTTTTAATACGCATTACAAAGCACCGTCATTTCTATTGTGCAAAGTAATATTTTTATAAAATGGAAACTATAGGTATTAAGCTAAACTAGTTTACTATGAGAGAAAAATTACTTTCCTTTAATTTTAAATTGTTACTTCATAAATTCTTATTCTTATACATCACCTCTTACCTTGCTTTGCTTCTTTAAACTGCTTTTAATAATTTGTGTCAAGTAGCAATAATTAAAGTAATAAATTCTTAATTAGAACAGAAAACTCTTTGAGGAAAGTCACAAGAAAATACAATTCTCATCAGTGTTTCACTTTTTTTTCGAGCTTTCATGTTTTATAAAAGGTTTTCATTTTTAAGCCGCAGAAAACTCTCTTTCAAATTGAAACGTGTCACAAATTAGGGCTAATTTAATTTCTCTTTAAATAGGAAAACGTTTTAAATATATTATTTGAAATACTTTATTTGATATTTTGTTGAAGAAGCTATTGATTTTTTAATATATTTAAACTAATTTTAATCAAAAACTTAGTACTATTACAGTAAGTTCTTTGATTATAATTATGAAAGTTTAAAGTTGCTTTTGAAATTAAGTATTGAAACAGTTATATATAATAATTTAAATCTATACATATTTTTTATATATCATAGATCAAACTATCCAATTATTTTGTATGATATTGCAGTGGTACCAAAAAATCGTGATGGAAATTTCTAAATTGAAAACAGAAATTAATTAAACCAGAGGAAAATCTACGATGATATTTGGTAGCTTAATGCCGATGTGTACAGATTACGGTAATAATGGATCAATTAGTAGAATTGTTAATAAGCTATTAGGCACTTTACATCTATATATGTACTTACATATGTAAATACGGATGTACTTTATAGAAGATTTATTAGATAGGTATATTTTTTATTAAGTTTATTTATTTCAAAAAGTTATATATATCTTGATACCTCCATTGTTCTGAATATCAGTTACGAATTTATGTTATCCATTTATAATACCTCTCATATTTGCATGAGTATTCTAAAATGGTTGCATTTATTTTAGATTTTGTGAAACGTATTGAATAAATGCAACGCTTATAAATAATCCACTAAAACTAGGAACATGATGTAATTTATTTTGTTTAAAACTTTATATGTAGTTATTCAAAATGAAAGTTATTTTGGGAAAAATATGTGACATTCACATTAAATCAACTCCAAGCTTAATCTCTTATTGTAATACAAAGCTTCCATTAATATAATGACGTTATTACCAACAGAGAGATTAACACTGAAATGGCATAATACAATTTTGTATCAATCAGTTACCAAATACAAAAAATACATCGGTTAATGGATTCAATACCCACAAGTTTTTTCTATAACTAATTGATTGGTACTCTCATCGGCTTTTGACTCAGCATTTACTTCGGCGACTCTTCAAAAACATTCACAAGTCTCAATTAAATGAATATCGTCAGCCTTTAAATTTTTTAACACAAATATATTTCAACGGAATCGAAGCAGTCAGTTTTACTTTGATGGTCATTTTTAATATATTTGCTGTATAATATACAAAGAATATTTTATGACTAGTTATAAACGTTATCTGTTGGAAGATTAAATATAATTCTGTTCCGCTGGGAGTCTCTTAGAGGGGAGTAATCCGAGCATGCAAGGCGTTAGGAGTTTTCCCCGATAGTTTGACGGGAATCATCTCACTAAGCTGACCTCAAAGTTACACGTTTATAACAGATCTTACCTTCCCTGTAACACTATAAAAATAACTTTAAAACTACCGTATAAAATACCATTTTCTTTTAATAATTTAAACAATGCCTGAAGAATGATGTTCATTTATGGAAATTGTATGGTTAATAAAGCGTTTCCCACTATATAATACCAAACAAACCAGCGACATTCGTTCCAACAAAGAAGGTTTAAATAAATGAAATTATTTCTGATAGAACAGTCGCTGTATATAGCTTTTTTGTAACGATTTAACGGTGAAGAAATGTTTAAAATTCAGAGAGCCAATTAAGATACTTTTAGCTACAACTTTAAAGTAAAATTTAACTTTGTTAGATGTGGAAAGTAGTGCTCAGAGATGAGATCAAAGCAATTCTGCTGTGCAGCGAAGAAAGAAAGCAGACAGACTTGTATTTAGGAAATCAGATTTAATATAATTAGTAAAAGTAGCTTAATAACTAGTTGATTAAAACTTCAAAATAATAATTCCTAACGTTTCACAATAAATAGAAAATAAATTTATATAAATAAGAAACACATTTTAAATTTATAATTACGTAAATTATCAAATAAATTAAAAATTCGCTATAGCAACATTCGTTGGATGATACGGGCAATACTAATAACAAAAATATTTTTTTTACATATGAGTAATTTTGAAATTCCATCATACAATTTCTTTATATGATACATATATATATTAATAACTTCAAACTTAAAAATAAATATCGATATTTATTACAACTTTGCTATAAATGTTCAAGTCCACGAGTATTTTGTATAACAAAGACATTTCCAACAAATGTAGAGCATAAACGGAAACCTCTTTAATGACGTTATTGACTGAATAAAGGAACTGAATATTTTTATTGTGCAAATATTTTCCTATATTCATCATATTGAATGTTAAGAAAGAAAATAATGTTCGAAGCCTTACTATAAATGCACGTATCATTGTTCGAAAGGCTTTATATAGTATAACAATGGTGTACTGCGATGCTAAACATTTATATTTTCATATAAATCCGAAGTATTGTCATCGTTTTGTAATCGTATTAGTGACTACAATGGATGCTTCGGACATCACAGTACGATTTTCACATCAAAGAAGATTTTTTTTTTTTGTATTTTATACATCTGTGAAATTTATCTGTTCAAAACATAAACATAATGCTATGAATATTCCTATTTGAGATGTTTTTTTGGTACAATTTTATCAATGTCAATACACACATTGAAAATTTGTTCTTACGCACACATAATACAGGCGTCTCTCTAATTTTAAATACGATAACAACATCGTTAATATTATTAAGTAATAAATAAACAACACATTTATAGCCACAAACATTAATTGCAAACCACTGATATGAGGATTTATATACTACGCTTGAAATCAAAACCAAAATGAGCACAAAACACCCCTCTGACTAAACTAATGTGGTAGACCAACCTTAACAAAGTGGCCACCATTACCATTTTTTATCCAGCCTGGCGGTGGCTTAGCCACTGGCACCCACTCCTTGATTTCTGCCGGTCCCCACATTCGCTTCCAGACGGCAACGTAAATTTTTTTCTCCTGCCACGTCTTCACCCAGCGGGGTCTCCATATAAACTTCTTTTTCCAAAATCCTTGGAAGTTTGGAGAATGGTGATGATGATGGGAAGAGCGGTCTCTAAACATACAGTTGCAATTAATTTCGTGTTTCGTGCAAAAATTACATTAATAAGGTAAAAATTAACGGAAAATAAGTATTGTATTTCCGAATTATTATTTTTTTATTACTTAGTTGAAGTACGTAATGTAAGGAAATACATATGTATTTAAATTTGTATGTGCACGATGTATTAACATTCAACCGTATGCTATGAATCTAATCCTATCCTCCTATCCTACGATTTGTATCTAAGTTTATTTCACTGACAACAACAAAGAAAGTTCAAAAAAGCTATTGAATTGACATGTACAACTAAAGTAAAATATCTCTACCTAATACCAAACAAACCACATAAAGGGAACCAGAAACCTACATACCTTCTTCTCAGGATTTATTTCGAAATGAAATCTAACAAGAAATGATAACTTCAAAGACCAGTTCGAAATAAGACGGAACCTTGCAAGTGAATAATTTATTTTAAATCAGAAGTTACGTATTCAAAGCTATTAGAGGTATTAGGTACAAGGTTGCATCTTCTTATATATTTTGTTATACATATTTCAAAGGAATCTTCGAGGCTAATAAAATCAAACGTACATATCAAAACAAAATGAGTGCTATAATATTTTGTGCACCAGTAGAGACTTTTACCACGAACTATATACATATAAGTTTTACACATAAATAAAAATTCAAATAACATAAACAAATAATCTTAAATATTAAATAAAGAATATTAATAATTCACTGCGCTTGTACACTACATAACGTCAAAACTTCCAGAACTTGACAAACATTAAAAACATAGAAAACTACTGTAAAACTAAAAACAGAATGAAATTTATAAGTTCCAGCATTAAATATTTCATATCCATTTTAGTTACGCTTAATAATATCATGAGTATATTAAATAAGTTTTGAATATACTATATAGTTTAAAGTTTTTGTTAACCCGTACGAATTCGCAACAGGATTCAGCATTCCTGAATCCTGATTCTGAGTACTCAGCGACATCTGTGTTGCACAGACAGAAACTGCTTTATTTGAAAATATTTTATGCTTTAATAATTAGTGTGCTAAATTAATTAATTTATAAACAATTAAACATATTTATTAATTTCACAATAACGCGTATTGTATTAAGGTGGGTTATGATTTGCATTCAAACGCCATCTCTTTGATATCTCGAAAACTTTTTCATTAAAACCACAAAGTTGTCAATTTGTTTTTAAGACAATTTCTGCCAAGTTGTCAACTTCGTTCATCGTTGCTAATCTCAAATCATGAATAGTGTTGAAATATTTATCTGTAATCTGAATCATTAAACTTCTAAGCGCTTTGAAATACGTTCGTTTTTGAATTTATAATATTAAGCTAAAACCGATAACTATAAACTACTGCTCTGTCCCTCGTTAAACGTTTTGAATTGCAAGTTGTCCAATCCCTACTAATACTTACATTAAATTCCCCGTCAGCTCCACAGACGGCTTTGTGCTTTGATCAATTTCACTTGAAACATAATGAAGTAACAGGACTCCTAATACCAACTGAAATTAATATTAAGGTAACAAAATAGTGTGCTGTTGTTGACACTGAATTTAAAAAGGTGAAAATATTGTTAGGTTACAATGCACTCACAATTTTTATTATCATTTCATACTTTTTTAATTAAAACTATATTACTAAACGTTGAATCGTGACTTCGAACGAAGAAATGGAATTGAAATGTTTCGAGCACAATATTTAAACTTAAAGTATTCAAACACACCTAACGTCTCCCGTTTAAGTAGAAATGTCACTTAATATTTTTTCCGGATTTTATGTTATTTTGTTTAAAAATTAAAAAATAAAATGTCTCATTTTTTTATTTATTAAATTCATATAGAGCAATGATACACTTGTGAACATTATTAACGATTAACGACATACAAAGAAAAAATAAAATAACGTTTATAAGGAGAAAACTTTTTTTTTTGTATTATGATGAAAATAAGAAAATAATGTATATTAATGGAGGGAAATCCAGTAATGTCGAAGGTGTTTAACCACATGCTTAGTCCAAATTGGCATCGTCACGAAACACAGGCAGAATTAACAGTTTCTTTTTAAAACTTAATTGCACATTATTACTTTGTACGTATTATCGCCACTTATTGAATGAGATTAGATAACGATGCAAACTTCTACTAAACATAGTTATACAACCCTAGATGAAATTACAATAAAATTGAAAAAGAAACAAACTAACCAATCGTACGCTCATGTTGATGTACTTATAAAAAGAATAAAATAAATTACGGTAAAATGTTTAAATGACACTGATGATGAATCGTGTTGTTAATGCCTTTTATAGTTGAATCTTATTTAGCGTAAGCCAGGGCTGGTCAATTTTGTTCCGACGTTTTGTATTCGGCTACAGTTTCTTCCGTTCTATGCAAAATACAGATTAATCTTGATTCACACGGTTTTATTAAGAGTATAACAAAACAATAGAAATATTTATATAAAACATTATAAATTTAGTTTAAAAAAGCTATTGAATATACGAAAATAAAATTATATTTCCTTTGTTATTTATATAGCCACATCGGTTAATATTTTCTTTTGTTTTAGTATTAATGAGTATAATTTACGTGAATGAAATAAGTGTATAGAAATGACAATTATTAATCTAACACGGGCCCGCGATTAAGAACCAATGGCCATATGAATTAAGATGCTTCGTCGTTACCGTAAAACAGTGTTACCCATAATAAAAATGGTATAACTGACAGTGAACTATTGGAATAAACAAACCATATCATACGAATTCTTATTGTATGCTGTTGACATACGATCCAAAATAGGATTGTATGAATGAAATGAATTGATATTTTTGCCCACAGTACGCCATACGTAATATTAATGTTAGTGCCGGGAATGCACGTCGTCCTTATATAACGAGGAAAGCGACCTATTTGTATCCGAACCGATTTCTATTCGAAGTTAGACCATAATCCTATTACATTTCAAATATTTATGTTTCCGTCCGAACCTTAATCGGACTTCTCTATAAATAAAAAAGTAAATCAAATGTTGCAATATATTTTAAAATATATAGTAGGTTTTTTGTATTTTAACGAATTGTTCGTTTATTTAAACTATATTATAGTACGGGGATTTTTTTTATATAACCTTTTATACATTCAGAGTTGCGTAAGCTTGTTGTGATTTCCTGCCATGTAATACCACAAAGGTTTAAAAAATATTCTGTGATTTTCACGTGTTATTAATTCATTGTGGTAAAATAAATATGGTATATACGTACGGGCATATTAAATCAAAGCTTTCCGAAGGTTTCATATAATAAAAATGATTATAACCCATATTTGAGGTTTATAATAATGGGTTTTGATATTATTAAAAACAAAGTGTTTATTAAATTTATTATAAATAGCATTTGTACGCTGATAATTAGCGTTAATATTCAATCGCTATCGGTGCACATGGTGTTAAATAAATTGTGGTCGCTTCTCGTTATACATGAAAGGAAGGATTTATTATTCAACTTTGCAACAAGGAGCATACGTTTTTCCAAGTGTATTTGTCTTTGGCACATTCTAGACTCTTTTATGTTTCAATCTGTGTTGTGTAATTAATTCGTCTAAATTGTCATAGTGATATTGTAAATAAAAATAAAAAAAAAAAAAATATGGCGGATTTTCGGCGATGTTTAAAAATAACTTCAACATTTCTCGAATGGGTCATAAAGAGTTTTATAGGCTGGAGAGTGCATTTGTTCGTGGATATAGAATGGGTGACGTAATTTTGAACTGGAAAAAAATTTACTTGAAAATTTCACTCATTAAAAATGAAATATTCGTATAATTTAAGCCTAAAATTAATTAAGAAATATAACAACGAGAGTTCATAAAATCACACACGTGGGTGCACCTTTTCAAGCCTGCAAGCCTATTCAAGTTTTTGTTAGTGATGCGACATGTTTGGCAATTTAATATACCTAATAATTATGAAATATCAACATTTTTATTTATTATATGATTTACATTTTTATATCATTTTGAATAAGGATTATGGAGAAAAACATCTGGTTTGAGAATTAAATACGATGAAATTTTATTGCATTTAATCGAATGTATATGAAAATTTTTATTAATTTTGTAACGTTATCGAATTTTAAACTGACTAATTAACTGAGTAGTTCTTGTTTAATACCATTTTTTTCATATTCTCGTTGTATATGAGTGTGATTTTTTGATTGGTACTATGAAATAATAATGGAAAATATTTTCCAAAAATAGAAATATACGGATAACGGATGTTTTATTTTCGGCGGATATCCGTACGGATATTTATACCTGTATCCGGACATCACTAAAAGTGATACAATTATTAAAATATATGATTGGAGGTCATACGTAAATAATAATAAGAAAATATTAATCATTAATATGGATAAATATTTTAAGTGAGGTATATTGCGCATTGTTGTACGATTCAATTGTATATAAACAAAGAATCATATATCTTTTGCCGTTTTTTTTTGTAATTTGAAATAAAGTCACGTCAGTCAAAGCTTAAAGGTGTATTAGAACGTTTTAACACCATCTAGCGACGAAATTAAAAAATACAATTGAAGTGTTACAATAGTTAAGTCATGTACTCAGCTACTCGGCTAAGTAATTCTAACAAAATTCAGTGGAGGGAGCAAAACATAATTTTTAAGATGAATATAATAATGGCATTTTAATTCAAAAAATGTTTCTTTTGTTCAAACCATTTTCTTTTTTACTTTCAATTCATCATCCTCTAATCATGTTAATTACTAACTTAATTATATATTAGTTTTATAATGAAGTATTTTTTATGTTAAAAAGAAATATCAATTTTATTTATATTTTAATATACATAGAAGTAATCTTGGGAAGTGCTTTCAGAATCAGAGATTGTAGTTATATTGCCATGACGTAATAAAGATTTTAATTATCTCGTGAGCATTATTTTTGGACTTGACGAAATAAAATGTAATAAAATGAAACATACCTAGGTACTGATATTTTGTGAAATATTTTTCCAGTAACAAACAATTTGTGGCCTACAAACTAGTCCCATATAAAACTTATTATTACATATGTTGTATTGACAATTTTTATAGTTGCACATAATAAGTTATTTTCTTTAAAAAGTGACACATTTAATTTTCTTTCAAAAATCAAAGGTATTGACATTTAGAGGAATATATAAAATTCTTAACTTTTCCAAAATCTATATGTTATTTAAATTAAGTTATACTCTTTTTCGTTTTTTGGTTTTGACTTTTATAATTCTTACATTTAAAACAAGAAGCCTAATATTTAGTTTTATTTACTAATGTAAGCGAAAAATTAAGTGCCGTTTCCATTTAATACACAATAAAATAAATTGTATTCGTAAGAAAAATAAATTTTTCTTTAATAAATATTATAAGTGGAGGTAAAACAAGAGAACCTTTTTATTCTTTAGTTATCAGATAGTATGTTTCATCACAATGGCAGTTGGTATTTTAATTAAAATTATCTTTTAAGTAATTAATCAGTAGATTAATGCTAGTCAAGAATCATTATGTAACAATTTGAAATTACAGTCTTACAAAAATATAGGGGTGATATATGTAGATAGGGAGAAATAATAAATGTGGGGGCGCCTGATACTATTGAGAGCGCTTCTATTTATAAATAACAATACTAAGAAGTCTTTTCTAGAATTAAAAAATATTGTAGTCTTTTATATGAATCTATGTTTCTGTGATATCAAAAATATGTAGGTATTTCAGGTTTTACTTTGCCTGTTATTTTATTATCTTTAGTTTGTTGTTTTTATACCAATTATTTCAAATATTTCTCATGTATTGAGATAACTTTATAATATATTCTAAATTTGTTACAGTTGGTAATTTTTTCGTTGGTAAATATTTTTATGTTTCGTGTTTCAAAAGTGCCGCCTATTTTATAAAGTTTTCTCTAAACGATGCGATGTCAAAGATCTTAAACATAATGCCGAAATAAATTAAGAAATATGATATAAAATATATTTATATGTTTGTTTTAAATGCATTTGTAAATTCTATTTATTGTAATAAAATTATTAATTAACATATGAAATTGTTAAACAGGTATGTACTTATATTTATTATTGTTTATGATTTTAAAAATTTGCTAAAGTTTCCCTAAGTTATAAATAAATAATAATTTTTATTTTAATCTCTCTTGGGTAAAACTATTTATAATAATTATTTTACTAAACTGAAGAACCGGAAATGAGATTTGCGCAACTCGCTATCATTGATTCCTCCAGAAAATTCTTTCCTTTGTTCCCGAATTGTGAATACCAAAAGTTGCAGCTCGTGAACAAAAATTTTTTTTTCGCGTACCTTAATACGGTAATAGGGTATTTTCTTGCGGAAATTGTTGCTTACGGTCTAACTAAAAGATCTTCGAATAAATAAAGTCGGAATTCAAATAAATTTGAAAAATTTCTGAAACAAAGAATTTCTAGTCCCATAAGTCGCCAATCTGAAAACTAAAGTAACCGAAGAGATCGAGATGAATGCGGGGGCGTATTCGCGTGGTAAGTATTTCAATTATTATTTTAATTTTTTTTTTACATATCATAAATTAAGTAGGAGTACCTACTGTATTTATGAAGGGAACAATTTAAAATTACTATTTTCTTGAAAATTTTATCAATATTTGTTTCTTTTAATACCCAACATTGTGTAATATTCTTTACGTAGTTAATTCGAATGTTCTTTTTCATACGAAATTTCTTTCCCCAATCAATGACGATTTTTTTGCTTATTTTAACAAGTTAAATGACTTCGATACATCTATACCCATACATTTCTAGAATTTTTTTTGCTATCGCTTCATCTATCATGCCAGCCATTTTGCAGTAGCGATCGATTGCAATCGTTGCATTTTCATTATGTGGTCAAATATTCAAAATTATTATCTAGTCAGCGTTAATCTACACATTTTATTTATAATATTGCATAGCGAATTAACAAACCTTTGTTAAGCTTTGTGGGCCTTTAAAAAAAATGAATATTTTTTACATTTCATATATGGTCCCTTATATATGTCGAGAGGTCAATCAATAATGCATAAAATAACTGCGCAAATTTATATGCGCAGTAACTTTAAAATTTTTAAAAGCTAATGCTCACTATAAAAACTGTGAATAGTGTAAGTGATGTTAAATACAAAATATGCTTAGTGTTCAAATTTATCTATAAAAATAATATTTAACGTCTATTTAATATTAATCAGTTTATACCTTCTTTGTTCTACTTTTTACGAGATCAGACAAGAGACTTTAAAATCTGTATACGCTTTTTGTAATATGAGATTCATCTTAAAATACTCGTCTAAAAGCTGTCCAGTATATTTTCTATTTCGTTCATTTGTAGAAGATTTAACAAAGACAAAGACTATGTACAGATTAATAAAATATATCACATCTATAGTTATCAATCTGTGAAGAAGGAAATACTTTTTGAGTCTGTTGATAAATTATGACATTTCTTTTAATGTCAAAGTTTAAATCACGTTAAAATTAGCCACCTGAAATAAATTAATTAATTGGAAGAATATAAGAATGTAATAACAAAGGAAAAAAATAATGCAGTCCTTGATTTCCCCAGTCGGTAAGTTTAACTATAAGTATGTAATGTTCAACATGGACAATAAACTCAGATAATTTGGCGCTATTTAAAAAAGAAAATTAATAAAAATAGTAGACATCTACCATAAGATTAAAGATATAATACAGATGTGGAATAAGTCCATTTACAAAACAGCAAAGTTTTTTTTTTGCTATAAATGCATAAATAACGCTATGAATAATACTTCACAATCACTATTGGGCAAGTTTATTTTATTTAATGATTGACAATTGTTTACAAAAGATTAGTAATAGATTTGTTTAAATATGACAGTAGTCTGTAAATATAGTTATTGGAATGAACTGAGGCCACATTCAGTGTAAAATTTCCATCAAAACTATAACCATACCGATCATCTATCCTGCGATGTCAGGTGTGAATAAATTTAATATTTATTTAATTAACTCAGGTACAATATATGGATATTACAAAAATTCATCGGTGATCTTACCGTAATTACCTTATCCGTAATCATTGTGTCGGACAACTTTGCCTTTGTATCATGAGATAATTTAGAGGGGCTCTACCTAACTACTTACATGAGGCAATGTTTATGAAAAAGGGAGTTTTTTATTTGAGTAAATTAATGATAAGTGCTTGAGGACAAATTTATCTATAAATAAGTATATTGAATATTACTTGAAAAGAAAGTTCATATAGTTTATTGTGGTAAATATGTGACTTCTCAGTGAATGTGGTCAAATACAAGTTTTCGATTTGGTTTGCAAGCTTAAGTAGTATTGGATATGAATGCATATGCATGATGAGTCTCAATCCTTCCTTGCATCTGGACAAAGCGATACACTTTTTTCTTCCTCACACATAGCGAAGGATTGGAATAGTTTGCCTGTATCTATATTTCTTTCAACTTATAATTTGGATGTCTTCTATTCTTGAGTGAATAAGTTAGCATGATCACGAACTTGGACTTTATATCCACCTACCAAGGGATTTGGTCACGTCTATCCTACCAACACTTAAGCACTATTCAGTTGCTATAATGGCACAATTAAATAAAAAGGTGATTAAGTGAAAAATGTGTTAAACATTGTCGGTGATATTGTTGAAAACTTTGTAATTTTTCATTTGGGTTTACATATACATATTGAATTTGTTTTCATATTTTTGATATATGTCTTCTTTTGCCTGAACAGGTCCCACTTTATGTAGGGTCGGCACAACATGTTCTTCCACAAAACATGTAGATAGTTTTGGCTAATTGTTTTACGGCAGGCCACCTGCCTGACATCAACCCTCTTTGGGAATATTTGATATATATGTCATTATGGAATTAATCAAACCAGTGATGATTAATTGGGTAACATTATACTTCATTGGAGATTTGAAAATTTGTTAGCAGTAAACACTGCTTGTCCATCTGTCGCACTATTTAAAGTGAATAAGCTTATTACTTTTTCCAGTTTATAGTTATTAGATAATATGTTATTGTTTCTTTTGTTGTGAAATCTATATATTTTTGAAATTTAATATTTAGTTCTCTTTAGTTCTTTGTCTTCTACCTTATTCAAATAAAAAGATAGTCGTTTGAACTGATATTACTTTCCTATTGCTTTCAATTTTTCGATTATGGTTTATGTTTTAATTTTAATATGGCTGGTTGTTCACATGACTTTGATTTGTATTAGTGACAAATATATTTTTAATTTTTATGATACATGAAAGCTTATCATATTAACACCCATTGTTGTCAAACAGACGTTACAGTGTGATAAAGTGGTTTATGAATTAATATTGTAACTTGATATATATTATTTTAGTCTGGACTTCCCATTACATTTTCCTTGTGCCAGTTGTTGTGAGTGTTTATTAATCTATTAACAATGGTGGTTGACGAAATAATTCATAGTTCAATGATTGAATTAAAAGTGCAAAATTTAGATAATGGTAAATGCGGTGATACTTTTATTAAATGAACAATATTCTATGGCTGTAATAGTTGTGATAAGGCAAATTGATTAGCCATTAGAAGTACTTTGATGTTTGAACATGTGTAACGGAGATTTTATTTTTTATTTCACATATTACTAATTGTATTATGAAATCAGTTGATAAAATTTGTGTTACTGTCATAGCTTTTTCAAATTCATCCTTATTTTTCTTCTAATGCTGACTGTTTTATTTTTAAGCCTTTTTATTTTTATTGAATAGCATGCCTCTATCCAACATAACCTCATCAATAGAAAATCGCTATCAGGTCTTTCTTTTTTACATTGTCAGTTAAATTTACATCAAATAATGTTTCCGTTGATAATTTGATCAAGCTAAATTTTTGTTTGGCGGTTGTTGAACTTTAAATACAGTTTTAAAACGTTTTTATGTTATGAAGAAAATTCTAAAAGTGTATGGGGATACTGTTTCAGTCAAGATCCTATAATAATAAAATCAAATTTTATTTCAAAAAAGAGCATTCGTACTTCCATTGAGTTAATGGTATAACATTTAATCACTTGTAACAGATCACGAAACTCGCCAAACCGTTTTTAACACGGAGGTCGATGAAATGATGGATGAGAATGAGGCGACTCCTCTTCTTCGTCACTTCCATCGTGTTAGTGCTCGTGGTATGAATTCCGTGACCATAGGCATCATCACCGGCCTGACTCTGCTGTTCGTTACGGCGTTGGGCATCGGGATATATTTGCTGGTGGTGCAGAACCATTCCGGTGAATATTTTGAAGATTTATACTAAAACCATATCCATTTTAAAGATTTTTTTGGTCTGATTTAGAAGATTGGTTTGGATCTTTAACATATTTATCATATTTATTTATAGAGAACGTTCTGCCACCCGTTAACGTGGAGGAGCCGTACGTGTACGTGTCTCGTTCCGAATGGGATGCTGATGCTAAGCCCTCCACCGAACATTTCACGGCCCAGCAAGTGGTCTTGCTGCAAACCGACACTCGCCAATGCTGGGATCTCGAAGGATGTCTCCTGCTGCTCAAGGATATGAAGGTAAATAATTTATTTTCTTGTTACAGCAAGTTACGTTAATTAATTAAATATAGTATTGTTTTCATTACACGCGTTTTTTACTTTAGGCCCTTCAGTGATATAAGAAAATACTTTTGATAATTTTAAATTGGCTTTAACTGTAAACAATATAGTTGGAAGTAAATTAAACTCTCATTGATATAATGTGTTGGCTTAATGATTTTCTGGTAAACTTCATTATAATGTTTAATACCTTCTTAATTTCTAATACGTTGTATTAAAATAAAAAGTTAAAGATTCTGCTGCGCAAGTAATAGAAAAAAAAAGACAAAAAACTCACGTTTTTTAAATATCGCTGAGTTAGAAGCAGTGCGATGTTGCGAGTGTTTTTTTGGATGAATTAAATTGATTTAATACTTACTAATTTCTCACTGCTATAATGGTCTATGAACATAAAAAACCCATTAATGTTTTTCATAGACATATAGAATTTTGTGAAAAGTTATTTTGTGTCGTAGTCAGTTAGCTTTTTTATATCCTCATAATATCTTAAGTTAAGTTAAGTAATATCTTAAGTTAAAAATTGTAAAAATGGAGTTATAATTAAAAATTTGTAGTAGAGAAGATGTTCTACGAACAATTTTAATTGAATGGGTTGATAGACTCGTTGAAATATGAGCATAACATTATTTAAATTACTTATCAAAGCAAACATATCTACCGTACGAATGATTGAATAAAACTATTACATAGTTTGCTGACGCGAGCTCTGCCAAGTGCCTACTACTTCACTCCTTCTCCGCGGCTTGCTGTAATCCGACATGCGATAAATAGATAAAAAAAAATGTATGCGAAATAATAAAAGTGTCACTTTGAAATGAAAATAAATGTTTTTATGCATCCTTCACTTATTATGTGACATAATATACATTTGAGTTTGTTGCGATAATATCATACTTTAATATTTTCATAATTTTAAATAAAAGATTATGTTGGCTAGCGTATACAATTGAATTTTATATGGACACAAAGAAATCATTATTAATTAAAGTTCGCATATTTCAGGAAGCTCTGGGTCCGAACAAGACTATGCCCTACAACTTCTTGGTCGCTGACGGAATAGTTTATGAGAACATGGGATTCCATACTTCAGCTATGTCTGAGCTATTTGCTGTAGTGGTCGCCTTTATAGGTAACAATTTTATGTCCTTGAATAGTCAGATTTCATTTGAACTTGGTGAACCTACTGAGGACCGGTAGGTGCTTTCTGAAAAGTATTTATTCAATGTCGCTACTCCTATCAGTGTCTGGTTATATGAAGCAAAGTGTGTATCACCAAGACAACAAAAATCCACATGTACATGCAGCCCTACGTGTTTTATATTAAAATAATTTCTTTTAGTTTTCACTATCACTAATAATTTGAATTATGTAAAAAATATTCTCTTCTTATTAGTTCGGTTTATTCATAAAAGCGTGTTTTTTTTAACTATTATTTATTTCCTTACTTTTTATGTTATCTTATAATTTATTAAACCGTGTGTGTACTATATGTATACATATATATTATAACTTCATGATTATATACTAAAAACTTTAACATTTTGATAAAAAATCTATAGTAATTATTTCATTGTATAATTTTTTTTTTGGTCGAAAGGTAATTTCGTCCATGTGCCACCTACCATTGAGCAAATTAACACTGCGAAGAATCTCCTGCGCGCCGCTGTGAAGGATAAGGATTTAGATGAGTCCTATACTATCATAGGAAAGGCAACAAATTATCTTCCCCGCCATTTGTTCCGTAGCTTCGAAAATCTACCCCAATGGAATCATGAATTGTCTGATGATTTGTAAATTCATCATCTATATGTAGTATTTTAAGATGTCTATGTGTCTATTATAGTCAATGATTGTTCCACTTATTAGTGTGATAGTGTTACCAACTGTATTGGTGGCGTAACTTCATGTGTCTAACTCTATATCTATCTGGTAAGATAACAAATGGTGTCTAACGCTGGTGGAATTCCAAAGCATTCCTTTTAGTGTAATGTTATTTAATTAATCATATGGCTAATTATTAGCCATTTCTGTCACAAGGTAATGCTCAAGTTTTAACGAATATAACTAGGGTGCTGCTTGATATTTCTTTGAGCTGATTAATTATATTGTAGATATATTTATTTTATGATTAGTATGTAAGTATGTTAATTTTTGTGATATTATTACTATTTCGATTTTAATTAGAATATTTTAATAAGTTTACTGACTGATATTTGTCCATATGTATTTAATATATATGATATATTATCTACTTAGTAAAATTTTCTTATACGTACTAACATTGAACTGATTATTGTGTAAAACTTTGATAACGTTTTAGACAAAAAAAAATGTTTGACTTTCGAGTTATTATTAGATTGTATGAGTAGTTTAAATCTAAGTCCACGACAATATCATTAAATGTAATTTTAACGTCTATGAACAAGGAAGCTTATCAGGTAAGAATTATTTTATAAATATCGCATAATCCTTATTTCTTAATGGTTTCTATAGGAATTACCAAAGATAACAAAACATTTTTGGCTATAGGGTAACAGATATTTAGTGCAGGGTTTTTTGACAAAGTCACAGGTGAAAGGTAGTTTATATGATGTCGCGTGAACGTTATTTAAATTAACAAAAATACAACAAAAAAAAAAGTAATAAATATATATAAAAATATAAAACAAAATTTCATCAATCAGCAATGGTAAGGTTCAATATGTACGGAATCTCTAAAATCCTAATAACTTTAACTTAAAATTTCATAGATCTATCGACTTATAATTGTATTTATATAACATATCTGTCTAATATATATACATATCGTGCTAATATTTCCATATATATAAAATATATATTATAATTTAATGTTTTATAATGCGATGGAATTAGAATGATAATAACTATGCATGTTTCCTATGATCACTAATAATTGTGTATCTATTATATCTAATGATGTCCATTTTTAATTTTATTCCATTAAATGCTATCTTAAAATATTTTTTATTTATTTACTAAAAATATATTTAATATGACCTCAAAATTTTTGCGATAATTTTTTTTTTGTGGGTAATACAAAAATTTGGCTTTATGACGATATATCATAACACTAACACTGCTTTTTACTATGTTTTTTAAATAATTTTATGTAAAATATAATTTATAAATTATATATATGTTTGTAAATATTATTTTAATATTTTACACTTTAAGATTTTATTATTTTAATTGTTAATTTTTGACTAGTACCATATTTTTATTATTCATTGTGCCATTTAAGATGGTTTTCATACATAATTTACATATATTTATTTTTAATTTTTGTTTGATTTATTATATGTGTTAAAATAAAAAGGTACAGCCTATATTGGATTTTAAATTTGTTAAAAAAGTTACGGTAAAAGAGAATTAAAAATTCGTGATTAAAAAATTAAACGAAAACGCATTCCAACTAATTCTAAAGGAGTGTAGTTTTTAAACTTATTTAATAAAGAAAAGGAATCAAATCATAACACATTTCGTATGAAAGAATGCATGTGATCCAATATCAAGGCTTTCCCATTCCCATTGAAGATGAGAACTACACTACTGACGTGAATTGAAAATATAAAAAACAATTAAAGTTGTTAATCATAAGAATTATAGCAAAAGTAATTGCTGCAAGATACATGACATGCTAGTTTTTTGGAAAAAATCCAAATGTGGTTTGTTTCACCGTACTTTCTTTAGAAATTCAAACAAATGACGCTGATGACCTTATACGACCTTGACCTTATAAGGTTTCGTATCTGAAACATCACGGTCATGTCTCAAATCATGGATCAAATACTTTTGCTTGTACTTAAGGCAAATATATTTAAATAGACCTTCACTTTCAGCTTATCTAGCGTATAACCCCAGTCCTTTAATCCTGAATAAACATTCAACAGTCTTGTACATAACGTGGAGTCCATACACTGACGTGCAATAATAATGACTTCATTTCGTTTCCACGCGGCTGCTACCAAACGAACGTACACCAATCGTACGAATGTCACCGACTCTTCCTTAATACCCACACAATGTTCAGCCAGTTCTTACCCGCCGTTTGGCTTCTCTAGAACACAATAACTCATCATTCACATACAAGACAACACAAGTAGATATAACATTATAAATGTATCTATCTGAATGTCTAAAATTATTAGTGCTTTAACCGCTTATTTTTGTTGCAGTGTCAAATTGCATTTGTGTTTACTACTGCACAGGTTCATTTAATTTAATTTGGCATCATTTTAATTTTTTCATTTATACTAAGAGATATCATGAACATTAATTCTAATATTTATAAATAATCCTTATTTATACCTCACCTCATACATAATATCAGTAATTCCTCATTCACGGTCAATTCCTAGGCAATTTACGAATGTATTTATCGTAAAAAAATATCTAACTTTCTTTAAAATATTTGTGGTCAATCTGAAACTCTTCTACGTATTCGCTTGAAATTAATTTTGCTACAATTCATAACTTTCTTTGTATGCAAAACCCATGAAGGACGTTTGTGCTAACATCTTCTGAGTATATTTTTCCACGAATATACGTTAGCAAGACGTCATTTGTGGCTAGCCACGCAACCTACTTTCCCATTCATCACACCAATAACTCTTAACATTTTGTTATCTAATATTCTGTGGTTTCTACTATGCTAAAATTCTTAAAGTAAACTATTTAAATTTTCCTATTTTCACTTGAAGTTAATTTTGAATTAATTATTCCAAATCTTATCTCAAGGGAAAAACGAAGGGCTTTTGTTCTAATATTGTCTTCCTATCTCATTCACGAATATATGTTAGCAAGACGTCATTTGTGGTCAGCCCTTATTCTCCATTTCACCATATCCGCTTCTTATTAATTTTGCAATTATTCATAATATTCTTCATCTACACAGTCCCACGAAAGACGATCTTGCTAATATCGTTCTCCCATCTCTTTCCGCGAATATATGTTAGCAGGACGTCATTTGTGGTCAGCCTTTATGCTCTCCATTTCAGCTTCATATTTGTTTTGGAATTATTCATAATATTCTTCATCTATACAGTTCCACGAAAGACGTTCTTGCTAGTACCGTTCTCCCATCTCTTTTCGCGAATAAATATTAGCAAGACGTCATTTGTGGTCAGCCTTTATTCTCTCCATATCCGCTTCATATTAATATTGCAATAATTCATAATATTCTTCATCTACACAGTCCCACGAAAGACGTTCTTGCTAACATCGTCCTCCGGTCTCTTTCCGCGAATATATGTTAGCAAGGCATCATTGTGGTCAACCCTTATGCTCTCCATTTCCGCTTCATATTAATATTGCAATAATTCATAACAATCTTTGTCTACACGGACGCACGAAGGACGTTTGTGCTAACATCGTCTTCCCATCTCTTTCCGCGAATATATGTTAGCAAGGCGTCATTTGTGGTCAACCCTTATGCTCTCCATTTCAGCTTCATATTTGTTTTGGAATTATTCATAATATTCTTCATCTATACAGTCCCACGAAAGACGTTCTTGCTAGTACCGTTCTCCCATCTCTTTTCGCGAATAAATATTAGCAAGACGTCATTTGTGGTCAGCCCTTATTCTCTTCATTTCACCATATCCGCTTCTTATTAATTTTGCAATAATTCATAACATTCTTCATTCACACAGTCTCACGAAGGACGTTTGTGCTAATATCGTTCTCCCATCTCTTTTCACGAATATATGTTAGCAGGACGTCATTTGTGGTCACCCTTTATTCTCTCCATATCCGCTTCATATTAATCTTGCAATAATTCATAATATTCTTCATCTACACAGTCCCACGAAAGACGTTCTTGCTAACATCGTCCTCTCGTCTCTTTTCGCGAATATATGTTAGCAAGGCGTCATTTGTGGTCAACTCTTATGCTCTCCATTTCGGCTTCATATTAATATTGCAATAATTCATAACATTCTTTGCTTACACGGACCAACGAAGGACGTTTTTGCTAACATCGTCCTATCGTCTCTTTCCGCGAATATATGTTAGCAAGGCGTCATTTGTGGTCAACTCTTATGCTCTCCATTTCCGCTTCATATTAATATTGCAATAATTCATAACATTCTTTGCTTACACGGACCAACGAAGGACGTTTTTGCCAACATCGTTCTCCCATCCCTTTCCGCGAGTATATGTTAGCAAGGCGTCATTTGTGGTCAACCCTTATGCTCTCCATTTCAGCTTCATATTTGTTTTGGAATTATTCATCATATTCTTCATCTATACAGTCCCACGAAAGACGTTCTTGCTAGTACCGTTCTCCCATCTCTTTTTGCGAATAAATATTAGCAAGACGTCATTTGTGGTCAGCCCTTATTCTCTTCATTTCACCATATCCGCTTCTTATTAATTTTGCAATTATTCATAATATTCTTCATCCACACAGTCTCACGAAGGACGTTCGTGCTAATATCGTTCTCCCATCTCTTTCCGCGAATAAATGTTAGCAAGGCGTCATTTGTGGTCAACTCTTATGCTCTCCATTTCCGCTTCATATTAATATTGCAATAATTCATAACATTCTTTGCTTACACGGACCAACGAAGGACGTGTTTGCTAACATCGTTCTCCCATCTCTTTCCGCGAGTAAATGTTAGCAAGGCGTCATTTGTGGTCAACCCTTTTTCTCTCCATTTCATAGTATCCGCTTCATATTTGTTTTGGAATTATTCATAATATTCTTCATCTACACAGTCCCACGAAAGACGTTCTTGCTAACATCGTCCTCCGGTCTCTTTCCGAGAATATAT